CTGCTAAAAGGCAAGAGATTACTCCAGGCAGCTTCTTCTCCCTGGTACCCATTCCCAAGGGATGATGTATTTTGAGGGCCTGAGACACATCCAGGGAGTTTTACTTTTGCTGCCTTTTTGCATGCAAGACCAGATGCTCGGGGGATAGAAGCTCTGAAAATTCAGCTCGTGGAACATAAGGGTTTGTGAGTAATCTGAGGATTTGGCGTACTCCTCCACCCTGATCCCTGCTACTTGGGATCTGTGGGAAGTTTGCCACTGGCATAAGAAACCAGGAACTGTCAAGAGAGTGTGGTCAAACACATTCTTCATTTAATCTTCTATAGCTAAGATGTAAAGACACAAAACCCAATGACCCAGGATGGGTCCTGGGGTTAAGGTGATTCTCTGCATTAACATGTAGTGGATTTGGGGTTCTCATAACCAGGCTTCACTTTCAGCCAAGCTGGGCACCCTGAAGGTCAGGACTACTGGGATTCAGGTACTGGGATTACAACAGGTTTTCCAACAGGAAGGTCCTATCTATCCACCAAAATGAGGAAGCCACACTCAGAAAAATTACCTGCCATGTAGGATGGAGGAAAATACAGAAGAGGTATTACACTGCTACAGCGAATGTGCTACAGCTTACTGTGCTTCTCCTTCTGCAGGCCCACCAGGAGAAGTTGTGCAGGGAAAACCAGGTCCCAAGGGTTACCCTGGGAATGCTGGTCCTCCAGGTTTTCCTGGTGTCAGAGGGCAGCCTGGGCAGCCTGGACATCCAGGGGGCTGTGATACCTCTGGGTGTTATGAGACCGATAGAAGAGGTAAGTCCCAACTATGTCAGTACAAAAGTTATGTTTTCATGGCTGGTCTTTGGTTACTTCTCTTGAGCCAGGCAGAGACCCCTGTTCACCCTTCAGGCACCATCAGTCCTGCAAAGCCTCCTCTGCAAAGCAGTCAGGGTGATCCCCACAGGGATAAAAGCCAGTTCCACGGGCTGTTCCTCAGCTGTCCTCCATGGATTAGCACATAACAGCAGCAGTAGTCAAGCAGGTGGGCAGTGATCATGGGGGATCAGTTCTTCATGTCCCCAGCAATGTTTCCAGCGGGGATGGAGAGAGGAGCAGTTCCTCAGTTCCTACATTTACATTTCGTAGAGGCTCAGCGCGACAAAGACCCGGGTGATGAAGAAATTCACTGGCACGGAACAAAAAATTTACAAGGGAAAGGGTTTAATTATGTGCCATTCCTTCTCAGACCCTGACATTGATTTATTCATTTGCTCAGTGGCCTCATCCTTTCCACACACAGATTTTGCCCCTGATGGCTGGGGCGGAGGCAGCTGAAGACATCACTTTTCCCTGGAAATCTCTGGAAGAAAACTCCACAGCTCCCAAAAGAAGCAGCAACCGAAATAGCAGATGTGTTATGTTTTTTTAATGCCCCATCATTTCTGTACGGACAAGTCAATCAAACTCCTCAGCCACAGCCTGTGTCTGGCTGAGCCGTCTGTCTGCACAACTGCAGTGCTCAAACTCACATCGAACGTCCCACAGCAAGACAAAGGCACAGCTGGGCACTCAGGCTGACAGACTTGTAAGAAAAAGAAATACTGTATTGAAATGCTCAGAAATAACAGATAATTTCTGCCCACTTGTCTGCTTGTGGTTTCTTTTTGTCAGATGTTGTTCTGTGTCCCCAGCACAGAGAAAAGCAGCACCTCGTAACCAAAGAAGCAAATCCACTGGAGCAAAGCTGCATTTTCTGTTGGCTGCCAAGGTAACAAAGTCTAGCACCATCTTGGCTGTTTCTGCTTTTGGCAGAATGCTGATGGTTTCCTTGCAGGGGTGTTTTGTACACAAACATTGAAGCCAGAGATTACCTTACTGTGATGTGACAAACTGCTGTTCAATTCCTCTGGGGCTTGGTAACTCAGGCAAAGCCTTACATGAGTCACAACCATGTGCTGAGAGGAGCTGGAGATTAACCTACTGCCTCTTCCATGTCTCCCTCCTGCAGGCTGAGTAGCTACTTTACATTTAATCAGGTGGAATATTGAACATCTCTGAGTCTGGCTTTTACCCATATGACAAGGAGGTAATTGTCATGTTACACCCCTTCCCATGCCATCAGCTGAGATGTGTCTGCAACAAACCATGCAGATATTGATAAAAATGTTCCTCCTTCTTTGCAATCACTGCTTCAGGCTGTGCTGGATCATTGTCTGTAACTTGCCTCTGCTTCAGAAACAAACTGAACTCTGAATTCTGATTTAAACCCTAACCCTAAAGCTGAGTGGCACAAAAAATATCAGTACAGATGTGTCAAAGCTGTTGAGAGGTAAAAGATGGAGCATCATGCACATTCCCCTGCGTTTATTCTGGATGTGTAATTTCTTCAGTTACATACAGGCTGACAGCCTGGGTGTTCATACAGCCAGCCTTTGAAAACTGAGCAGCAAATACATCACACTTAGAAAGTAGATTGTCACATCAACACCAAGGGAAAGAGGTTTACCTTAAGAGAACTGTCATTTTTAGACAAGGAGTCCAAATATTATTTCTTCTTGTCATTAAGGAAAAATCCTATAGAGTTAAGAAATTCTGCTAAAGGAACATTGGAACATGTCAGACTTGTGTGGGAGCCAACTTACAACAAAAGTCAGATAAAATATGGTTAGTGTATCCTGTAAGTATTTAAAGTAGTCCTTGGCTTTATGTGTGTTCATTCTCTAGAAACTCCCAATATTTTCAGCATGACGTATATTCCCTTTGGAAAATGTAGGAAAATGCATAGAAATGCCACTCTGATAGAAGTAACATTTTTGTTCACTGTGGAGCTCTCCAGAGTTGCCTTGACATATAAAATAAAAACCTTTTAGCTCAGATGAAGTGTTGTTACAGACAATGCTTCAGTCAAAAGAAAAAGGAGAGGTCAGAGGAGCTGAAGGTTGCAGCACAGAAGGAACACAATGTTTGGAAGAGACACATTCACAGGAGCACCTTGCACAGGTGTTGGGAGTTGCAGTGTTTATACAGGTCAAAGGGCTTTGGAACTGTTCTTTACAGATTCCTCAGAAAAAAACCAAAACAACAAAGCCAAAGCTGCATTAAGTTGGTTTAGAATAGCTCTGAATTTAGCACTGTGTATAAAGTCCAAAGCTGTGATAACTGGCAGGTGAAAGCAGTGGGCAGCAAAGGCAAGGAGACAAAAGGGGTACCTACACAGCAGACCAGAAAATTCTTACCATGAAATGCTTACAAAATGGGGAAGGTGAGCAGTGCAATAAGGACATCTGCATTTTCAGGTTATTCTGCTCCCTTTCTGACTTAAACCAGTGCAGCCAAATTCCCAGTTCTGAACTTGCTGTTCTGCCTGTTCAGATTAGTAACCACAGGTGATTTGAGACAGAGCTCCTTTATGTTTCTTTATCAACTGTTTTTGAAAATTCTCATATCCCCTCACTGTTGGCATTTGATATATTTTGATGGAATTTCAAGCAACATGTGCTTTTGTCTGGTTATTTCAGATAAAACAGGAAGGTCAGACTTGAACAAAATTGGGTCCCAGCAGGGCTATTGATTAGGAGACATACAACCTGCACAAACAACTTGTCCATTTATCTTCCTAAACTTTGTTCCATGAGTGGTTTTATTTACTTGAAATCAAGGATATAATCAGGACAGAGCCTGTGCCAGTGCTTTGTAACCCAATTCCTTGAGCCCAGGAGCTTTTCTGATGCGAGATTTTAGGCACTGATATTTTGACCCACCTGGTATAGGTAGATTCTGGCAGAGGCTGAGGACTTTCCAGTAACAGATATTTTTGCAACAAGCATCTTATTGAGGTGTTATCTCTGTCTCAGGAGCAAGATACAACCACAGGAATAACCAGCAATGTCATTAGCAAGCAGCAGAGCTTGTTATGCTCTTTCTCCATAACTCAACAGCTTGACTGGACCAGAATTAAAGGTCTGGAAACAAAAAGATATCCTGGGAGTGGATAAAGTGTGATTAATGGATATCACTGCAGTGGGAGAGGGCCAGGTGGGACCATCGAGCCAGGTGAGGCTGTTATGGGGGTATTTTTCTTAGGACTGCCCATGAATCTTACATCTCACATCTGCATCTCTGCCTGTCTGCCTCTACACCAGTGAATTTCCTTCAGTCAAATTTCTTGATAAATGTCTAAAGAAACTTCTCCAAAAGGGAGGTGTTGTAAGCTATGTGGATTAGCTCACTGGGGAATCAGCCCTGGCAATGCTGGGGAAATGGGGATTGCACAGATCATCCTACCAGCCAGCTGCAGACAAAATACCCTGCATCCTCTTTGGCTGGGAAGATGATCTGCCCAAAGTGAGCATCAGTGAAGCAGGAGAAAGGAGATTTAGGGAAAAACAGAACAATGGAGGTAACAGAGGTTGTTACAGTCAGTTTTGCTCCATTCATGCCCAAAGGAGCAGAACTGGAGGGAAAGCATTAAACACCATGGTAAGAATTCAATCTTTCCTGCACAAGTAAAACAGAAAAGATCAACATCCATATTTGCTGTCTTTGATGTTTTTGGTGTCTCTGAGCTTAGTTTTGCACTCCTGGAACCTGAAAACCATATACTTAGCTCTGGATCCCTTCCAAGACACTTTTAGAGCTCTTGTTGTGTCCCACTCTTGGTTCCTCACTCTTTTTCTGATGTCAGCTTGTTCACTCAAGTCCTGGGAATCATTTCTGAGCTGGGAGCATTACAAATGCCAACAGTCTGGCTGCATGCATTTTCCTGGAGTCTTTCATATGCTAAAAACCTCTCTTTGTGTTCCATGGGTTTGAAATAGCACAATTATTCATTATTCTACAGTTATAGTCTGGTTCATGTCCCAGTTTTATTCCAGTTTCTGATCACTGAATCCTATGAAGGGATAGCATCCTTCTCAACAACCTCTAAGATGGAATAACCTGCTTAAGAAAGAGCAGTAGATGCTGTTTCCTAATTTCTCCTCTTAGACTTTAAAAGGAGGCACATCAGAAGCAAAACCAAGAATTTATTTGAACTTTAACCTGAGAAACTTCTTATGAAACATGTGAAGAGATGTAGTTATCAGTGTATGAAAGCTGCTATGACATTAAGAAAGCAGAGGATGCCAGGGACCTGCCCTACCCCAGTAACACCTTTGTATGGGGTTTCAGCTGTCACTTCTCATCTTGTCCCACCAAACCCTGTGATCCTGCAGCGCACTGACTCTTCGGGGACACAATCACATCCTTAGCACTCCTGGTCACACCTGATACTTCTGATGTGCTAATGGAGCTCTTTCCTCCTCCTCCTCCTGCATGGCAGAGCGGTTCTGCCCGGGATTTCATGTCCTGCTCCATTGCAGTCCCAGTGCCACATTCCCCCTGAGACACTGCCCTTCACACAGTGTGCACTGGCCACAACTTGGAGCAGAAAAGGTGAAAATTGAAGATGAGCCTTTTGCTGTGAACAGTTTGTGCCTGTCCCTACTGAACTTCCCAATATGTCACCTTGAACATTTGGCTCTTATTCTGTCCTTAAATCTTTATCAGTTCTCCTGGTGCCTCCAAGCCATTCCCTTCTGCCCCCCGGAATGTTGTTTCTTAGATGAGGCCTCACAGGCTGATCACTGCAGCAGCTTTTGCTGCCCAGCCAGCCTGGCTGGGCTTTGGCTGTGGCTCCCGTGTTTGCTGGGAGCTGTGAGCAGAGACTCGAGCTGCTGCTGACTCCATCCCAGTTGGAAACTGCTGGTTTTACTGCTGAGAATGTGCATACACAGCCAAGCCTCCCACCTGCTCTGCTGCTAGTGATTCCCATGTGTTCAGGAGGAGGAGGGGGAGGCAGAGGGAGCTGTGAGCAGCTGCTGTGGCCATGGCTGTGATACGACACCCAGCAGTGCCCAGGGTCGGAAATCTTCCACCTTCACGATCCTTCACCCCACATGTGGAGAGGAGCTGGAGAGGCGTCACCGCGGGCCGCAGGGTGGCTGTGACAGGCCCCGGCAGCCCTGCCGTGCCCCAGCCCTGCACACACACTGCAGCTGTGCCCAACATTGATGCACTAGACCTTGAAGATGTTCGACTGTTTGTTTTCCTTTCATTGCCGTAAGCAAACTCACTGACTGTGAAAAGGGATAAATTAGCATCTCCAAAGGCTGAGGCTCTCTTCATTCTGAAAACAAGCAATGAGGAGCAGCAGCTCGGCTCCCTCATCCTCCCTCCCTCCCAGCCCGTGCTGTGCCAGCACAGCTCTTTGGGGAACAGGCCCAAACCATCGCTACTCTGCTTTCTTTGTGAGACAAACAGATTTTAAGCACTTGGCTGAGTCTGTGAACAGAGAGGTCAGTTGTAGTTTCTTAGACGAGGCCTCACAGGCTGATCACTGCATTGATTTTTAACCTGTGCTGTTCGGGCTGAGCGCACTGACTTGTATTTCAAAGAAGTCTCTGAACGCCATTGTTTGGGTTCCAGCATTGCTGCCACAAGCCCGAGCTGCTCGCTGAGCCGTGTGGCAGGAACGAGCCTCATGTGCCAGGAACGAGCCTCATGTGCCAGGCTAGCACACAGGGCTGCCACACGTCCCAGCTGGGCTCTCACCTGCCTCTGGCCTCTACCAGAACCTTCTGTGCTGCTCCCCAGGCAGCTGCCTGCCTCTCCCGGTGTGCGTTCCCCTAAATTCAGGGCAGGGTAAACTTCCCAGAGCCCAGGCAGTCTCCTGATGCTGATTCCAGCTGTGGGGCGTGCAGGAGGTGCTGGGCAAAGCCCAGGTCCCAGAGCTGTGAGCCTGGTCTGAGCTGTGCTCTCACGGCAGGTCCTGAGGCAGCTGCATTTCTAGACCACATCTGCCTCTGCCTGCACACACCGGTAAAATGTTCATAAGCCCTTCTGCCTCTGAGAGCTCTGAAGGAAGCAGGGAGACACTGGGCTGTGGGCCCAGCTGGCATCCAGCACTGAGGGTGGGAATGGTGAGCCAGACCAAACTGATCTGGACAGACGGAAACACAAGAAGTTTCAGTTCAACATGAGGAATAACTGCTTTACATTGAGGGTGGCAGAGCACTGAAGCTGCCCCAGGAGGTCATGGACTCTCTTTCTAGGACCTAAATAACCTGCTGCAGGTGACCCTGGCACATTCCTTTATTACCCTGACATCATCCTGGATTTCTGTTCTGACTTCCCCATGTCTAGGGACCTTCCCCACCTACACCAAGGGTTTTATAGCTCTTTCAGTGCCCCAGTTTAATCTTGAATCCTGTGGTGGTTCTTTACCACTGTTTGTCCCAAGCAGTCATCTAAGCCTTTCTAGACTCTCTGCCTTTACCAGCTGAGCACAGACCACATTCTGCACAGGTATCCCAAATTTGGAACTTTATTTATAAAATGACTCATACAGGGACACACAGTCCTGAAAGACTTCAGCCTGACAGGGCAAAATCACTGGGCAGGGCACAGTGAGACTGCCGAGGGTGACCGGAGCTATTGCCAGAGGCTGGTTTGTGGATGCAGAGCTCCTTTCTGTGCTGCTTTAGGGACAAGCTCGTGTTCTTACACTGCTGAGTACATGCCAATGAATGCCCCCATGCTATGTACAGACTTTGATAAGAACTTTTCCCCTAAATTCGATGGAGGAGATGAAAATGGCTTGGCAAAACAACGCGACCTCGGGGAGGATTCCCCGAGAGCTCGGGAGCAGCTCAAGTGTGGACACGCAGTGAATTATTCAAAGGGCTGCCTCCATTTCTCTCCTTCCAGGTGAACTAAAATCCATAGAATGGGATAGTAGGAACAATAATTTCTTCCCTTTGGTGCTATATTTAGATCATTCCTGCCAGCCACGGTGGGAGAAAGAGCCCAACAGTTCCCAGCAAGCACACAATAATGAACATCCAGAGGAAGATCCTGTCAATGACCATCGCAACGTACTTCCAGTCTTCCTTCACCTGGAACACAGAGGGGACAGGCCAATTATTAACATTTACTGGAGATTAAAATTTATGAAAACTCTTAGAGCTTTACTCCAAAATAGGATATTTTCATATAATTCCAGAGATAGGAGGGGGAGGTCTCACTCACACTTAGTGGTCCTATAAAATGGCAAAGTTTTATTCCATCAATCACCTGAGAGATTCCCAGACTTCAGGCATGTGACACGTGAAGTCACAAATGCCTATGGATAACACACCCCTGTGGATAATGATCATCTGCACACTCACTCTCCCATTCTCCATCAGCAACAACTGTAACTGGATGTGTAAATGAGGCTGTGATTCAAGCTGGGGCAGTGGGGGGTAAGGAATGACTCCTTTCCCCATGCTCATAAAAACACTGCTTACAGATTAACAAAGCCAAACTCTTTCTGTGAAGGGATTTACAGCTTTGGGTGAATAAGCAGTGAAAATGAACCAGCAAATAAGAGTATCTTCACCCTCCTTTTTCCCCATTTTTGCCTTGCTGTGGGAGGATTTTCCAGCAATTCCTCTCTGGGGAGGTCTAGTACCATGAGGCAGAAATAGTAAATGACTGTTTCATTAAAAAAACACACATATATATATGAAAACCTCTTTTATTACATTGCTGTTATTAATTTCTTTCCCAGGAAGAGGCCTGATCAGATGGTAAAGTTCTATTTGATATGACTGTACCCATAATGATTTCCTACAATTTCCCACTTGGTGATTAATAGACCTGAGGGCTGAAATTTGGCACGCTACCTTGTTCTTTGGGGAAAACATCTCAGCAGGATCCTGCTCAAACCCCTCCAGTGGCTGTGAGTGGTGAAAGCAGAAAGGGACAGCAAAGCTGCCAGAAATGCATTGTGGCAAAGGAAGCAATCTAGATATCAGTGAAATGCCATTTGCAGCAAAGGATGTTTCCACAGGTACAGTGGTGTTGCTGAGCTCCTTGGCTCAGTGAGCAACTTTATGAGCTGGGAAACGAGGCATGCACTGGAGAGCATATTATATTTTCTCTGAACAAAGCATTTTCAATTTCAGGAACACCTGAACATTGTCAAAAGCATAAGAATGGGTTCAATGTTTTCATTCAATGGATAGATTTATTCCTTTTAAAACCAGCATTGAGTTAAGCCAGCCTTTACTACCGAATAGGCAGATAAAACAACCAGGTTCATCCTGCATCTTGTCACCTTCTTGGGACAAATCATGTTATCTTATGATTGTACAGCCCTCTGCACAACCATCTGTAATTAGGGTAAGTAAAAAAAATATTGACCCCTGAAACCAAGGGGTCAATCTCATCCCAAGCTTCTATAATTTCCTTGGTTTGTGAACTGTAATTTATTCAAATTGATAAGATCATGTAGTGACAGGACAAGGGGAAATGGCTTTAAACTGAAATAAGAGTATTTTAGATTAGAAATTAGGAAGAAATCCTTTATTGTGGGGGTGCTGAGGCCCTAGCACAGTTGCCCAGAGAAGCTGGGGCTTCCCCTGTGAAGTTCAAGGAAAGGTTGGATGAGGATCTGCTCATGGCAGGTGGAATGAGATGAGCTTTAAGGTCCTTTCCAACCCAAACCATTCTGTGATTCTACAATTCTGTGATAAGAGCTCAGTGGATAACGCCCTTTTACAGCACCTATTTTCTGACCTATTCATCACTTGCTGAGAGTTGGAGTCTTAGATGCTTAAAATTCCTCATGGGAAAGGCATCTAAGCAAGCCCTGGATGATTGTTTTTATAGGATTAATGTCCTATGATATAACCAATGTGTAAAGAAATCTGAAATTCCCACCTGATGTTCAGCTGGAAAGCTGGATTGAGTAAATAATGCCTCCTTCTGGTAAAATAACTTTCTTTGAATATTTATGCTAGTAAAAATAAGTGCTTGATCACACAAAGAAAAGAAACTTGATGAGTTTCTCTCTGAGCAAAGAAGAAGAAAATGGGAGAACAACTTGGACAGGAATTTGCTTTCTAATGTAATGGTGTGTGCAGAAATACTGAGCCCATCTTGAAAATGATGGCTGGGAGTGCATCAGATGTTTGTAAAATCAATATCCAGCTTCAGACTGAGAGCACAGAGGGTGAAATTGGAAATTATGGGGAGATAATGAAAAAAAGGAAAGAAAAAGAGGATGAGGGAGAGGAAATGATCTGGATTTCTTGTTTCATGTTCTGCCACTGTTGTAGCATTTCCTTGTGGTCCAGCAACCCACGTGGAGTCTGATCTGCAGACGTCTCTCTGTCAACATCTGCCACCACAACTCCTGACCTCTGTTTTGATTAGTTTTTAAGAAGCTCACTCAAAATTATTTTTGGGAAACAATCAGGGGAAGAACCAGCTGACTCCCCTACTCTCAAATTCCCAAAAAGTGGGAATCTGCAGCTCTTCCCTGGTCCAGCTCCTTTGTGGGTCTGAGCCTCAGGATTTGAGTGGAGGATCGAGGTGCCTTGGTGACATCTGATCCCCAGGACCCAGAGTCTGCAATGCAGATTAGAGCAGTCCCAGGTGGTTTTATTGTACTTTGTTAAAAATAACCCTGTGAGATTATCCTGTTTCCTCCCCCTCAGCTTTATTCCTTCCCATTTTATTTTTAAATGTCTTCACATCAGAGTATTCCGGACATGCACACAGCCATGGGCAGAATGACTTCCCAGACAGTGCTGGTGGTGTCTGGTTATTTTGGCTGATGTGTGGCATGCAACTTGTTTTGCCTTTCAGTCTGTAATTAATTTCTAATGGCATTTCCATCATATGCCGGGACAATTCCGCCGTGCATTTTCCCCAGCGCCCCATTGTGCCTGTATTTTTTTGCAGATATCTTTCTGTATTTTCCCCAGCGCCCCATTGTGCCTGTATTTTTTTGCAGATATCTTTCTGTAACAAACAACTGCCTCTTGCATTTCCCATTTTCTCTTTGCTGGAGCACTTAATTAAATGAGCTATTTACTTTTAATTTAGAAGCACTGCCCCTGTGGCAATGGAGTTTTAGAGGGGGGAAAAAAAAAAAAAAAGACAAAAAAAAGACAGGAACTTAAAAGAAGCTCTGTTCTCCTTCTGAGAAGGTGAATGTCTCTGGAAATATTGCCCACAAGACAGCAAGATGTGTCTCAGCAGCTGCATTAAAGGTGCCTGCTGATAGATTTATTGAAGACTTTCATGAAGAAATACCACAATTTGATTTTAAGATGAAAGCAAATTTCTGACTACTGATTTTTTTCCCCAATAAATTCTCATTTTATTAGATCAGTTCTGCTCCTCACAGTATATTTCAGTTCCAGAAGATCATTTTCCTTCTTCTTTTTCATTTCCACTGGGAGAAAAAAACTGTACTTTCCTACTTTATGTTACTTGGGTCCAGAGAGAGAAAATAGTGCAGCCCCACAATGGAGTCAGCATTATCCCCTCAATCTGAAAACTCAGGCTCTTCCTTCTGTGCCAAGCTGCTGTGGAACAGCAGAGAAAGGTCATCCTGAGTCCCCAGGGGAGCCCACAACCCTGCCCACAGCTCATTGCTGGATGTTTTCCTGGTGCTTTTCCTCACAGCCTGGGCTGGCAGGAGGTTGGGTCAGAGACCAAAGGCTCAATGTTGCTCCTTCTGCTTTTGATGTTTAGTGCTGTAAATAGCTTTCTCCTCAGGATGATCACTTAATTTCAAGAGGGTAGAGCAGCAGAAGGTATCAGAAGAAAAATTGTGGCTTTTGAAGTCTGCTTCATTAAAAAAAATTAAGAGGAAGGAACCCAAAATATTAATTGAGACCATTCTTGTTAACACCAACCAGCTCAGCAGGGAGAACCATTTGAAATGGGAAGTATTACTGGTGTAATATTTTTTCATTTGCACCATGGGGAAAAAATTGAGCTAAACTCAACTGACATCCAAGGGTTTACTTGTGATTATTGCCAGAGGGAGAGAGCAGAGTTTAATTCCTGCACTCCTAATGTGCCTCTGAAGTGCTTTACCCTGGCAAGGAGTTTTGGACTGGAAACTAATGAAGATGAGGATTCACAGCCCATCTCTGCCACAGATTTGTTCTGTGACCTTGAATAGGAAGTTTGTGTTTTGGCTGTAACTCCTCAACACAAGGAATTAACAGTTCCATCCTCAAAGGGAAGCTGGGAAGTAAAATCAATTGAAGAACAAGGGCCCTAACTATGATAATAAAGAGTATAGACATGGACAGTAGTATTTCAGCTTTCCTTGCTGCTGTGCAGAGCTGTGAAAAATGCAAATAAAAGACACTCTCCATGCTCAGGAAGTCTTGTATAAACACACTATGACTTGCACTGATTCTAAATCTTAAGAATTTTAAACTGTAGACAAAGCTAAAAAGCACCTTTTGCATATGGATCTGCCCAGGAAAAGGTACATAAGGCTTTTCTATAATAAGATGACTAACTTCAGGTTATCTTGTGCCTTCCTTCATTATGGCCATAATTACTAGCACTGCAGGAAAGAGCTACAAGAGCTGTGAAAGGATGTGGAATTTATGTGCATCACTATCTCCATGAAAAGAAATCCTTGCAGCCTCTACTCCCTTTATCTGTAGCCATATTTACCCCCACAGAATAAGCAGGAAATTTGTTTCCCTACCTCCCTGCACAGAGCCAACTGCTCCAGTGGAAGTCCACTATTGAGGAATCACATCACAATACATGAGCAGAGCTACACAGACCCTGCAGTATCCCCACGCTACCACAGCTTCCCACACCCACAGCCTGCTTGGGCAATTTGCTTTCCTGGGCTCCAGAGTCAGAGTCAGCGATTAATAAAAAGCAGAGAGTGTGAATTACCCACTTGTCAGGCTTAAATAAGGAAGAAGTCTCTGTTCCTGTGAGATGGCAGTGTTTTGGGTTTCTCACGAGCCTAACTGCTTCTTTGCTGCCTAACAACAACTTTACTCCAATTTTTTGCTGGATAATTCATCATTCTAGAGCAGCCCTGAGCATGATCTGGTTGTGCTGCCCCCTTGGCCCTCATTCCAAGACCCCAAGGACATCTCCAGCTGTTCCTACAGTGGCCAAAACGCACAAGAGAGGTATGGCTGATCCTGCCTCAACATGTACACACTCAAGGCACACACACAGCTCAAGGTTTGCTGCAGCTCCCTTAGCAGCTCATTTTTGACTTTCTGAGGGAGAGCAGGTTCTGTTGGAATACTCACTGAGAAATCCGCATCCTCCGCCCGCAGGTGGTCTGCGATGTAGTGAACTCCTTCCACTGCCAGCTTCAGGGCTGGGGACATCAGCACGAGGTGCTGCTCTTTGGCGCAGTGGCTCTTGCTCCCCTGGGCTGCTGTTCCGGCCACCTCGCCCTTTTTGCACTTGCACTTGCACTGGGGGGACTTGTGCCGGGGCTGCTCCCCGTTGAGGTGGCACCGCTGGGATGCTGGAGAGCCACTGGAGTGGCCGTTGGTCTGGGAAGAGTCCTCTTGCAGGTAGCAGTACTGGATGCTCCGGGACCTGCAGCGGATTGTCCCCTCCTCTGCCTTGTTGGGGCTGTACATCTGCTGGACACTCAGCGACCTGCCTTTCAAGGCAGAGGTGGCCTGGGTGTCTCTCAGGAGGTGGCAGGAGGGCTGTGGAGAGGAGCAGGTCACCTGTACGGGCTCTGGGTGCAGCACAGAGTACTGCCCTGAGGGGGATTTGCAGATGGGCTGGGGTTTGGCTGGCTCTTCGAGGTGGGCACAGAAGGAGGAGGTGGGTGTTGGCTCATTGCTCTGGGGGCTGGGGGAGGATGAGGTAGTGAAGTTGGGCTCCACATCCATCTCAGACCAAAGCCTCGGTGCATTGGTTATTTTGTGCATGGACTCAATGAGCTTCTTGCAATTGTCCTTCACTGTGGAGGGACGTTTCATGAAAAGGATCCGTGGGACTATGTCCAGGAAGACCCTCCTCACCCAGTCTGGCATCGTGTGGGTGCGGGGGGAGCGGTGGTGCACGTTGAGCACGAAGACAGTGATGATGATAGACAAGGTAACGAATATCATGGTGAAGAGGAGGTACTCCCCAATCAGAGGGATGACCAAGGAGGTGGATGGGATGATCTCTGTGATGAGCAGCAGGAACACAGTGAGGGACAGCAGCACGGAGATGCACAGGGTTATCTTCTCTCCACACTCGGAGGGCAGGTAGAAGACCAGGACGGTCAGGCAGGAGATCAGCAGGCAGGGGATGATCAGGTTGATGGTGTAGAACAGCGGCAGCCTCCGGATAATGAAGGAATAAGTTATGTCGGGGTAGATCTCTGTGCAGCACTCGTATTTCTTGCTGTTGTAATTGCCCACAGCGTTGATGATGACCCACTCCCCACTCTCCCAGTAGTCCAGCTGGTCCACATGGCTGTGCATGCTCACCAAGTCTATCTTGGCTTTGTCGTAGGTCCAGGAGCCAAACTTCATCGTGCAGTTTTGCTGGTCAAAGGGGAAGAAGGTGACATCAATGCTGCAGGAGCTTTTATAGATAGCAGGGGGCATCCATTTAATTCTTCCATCGTAGAAGAGGTGAGCCTTGGTCAGGTGAGTGACTGCAAAGTCACCATCAGCACTGGGGACAGATGGAAGATAAGAAAAAAGGCTCAGACTTCTCTAGGACATGTCAATTCTGTTAAGGAAATAGGATATTTAGTGCCTGGCTTCCAGACCTGAGAGATGCAAAAGGCACATCACGTCCAAACACCAGATCCATCTACTCTGTCCAGTGAATTTTGAGCTCTTGGCTCAAAAGCCCTGGAATTCACATGCACATGTCAGCCTTCCCCTGCTGTAAGTCAGGTCATTGATGTGATTGTACACAGGTTTTCCCCAAAAGTGTCCCAGATGTGCTCTGGAATGAGTTGAGTTTGTTTTAGAGGTGGGAGGAAGTACTATCAGATAGTGTAGCTGGGGGTTCTGCAGAATTATTTGTGACAGCTGTTAAAAATGAAGGAGTGTTGGGTAATCACCCAGTCTCTTATGTGAAAACCATCAAGAACATCCTATTAATAAGGAATAATGAATATTAATCTTTTGATTTCCCTGTCAGGAAGAGAATTGGCTTTTGTGGTGTCTTCTCACAGTAATCCTCAGCTGGGGGTTATCAGATAAATAGACAACAGCTCAGGAGTTTGTATTGGAATTGCATGAATAAATTGTATTTTCCAGACTTTTGGAGGAAGAACCCCAGTTACAAATAGCAGCACTGCCAGAAAAAGGACAGGCTGTGCAGGGGAAGAGAGCTGCTGCTAAAAACTTGAGATGAATTATTCAGGCTGCTATAGCTCAAAAGCTCTCTGCTCCTGCCCAGCCCAGCCTGAAGCCACATCCCTGGCAGTCGCCAAAAATCCCTGGGCCCTGCTCTGCTGCTTCAGTGCCCAGATGTGCCCTTACAGCAGCCACACAGTGGCAGGGGTTAGTTTCATAGAATCATGGAATGGTTTGGGTTGGAAAGAACCTTAAAGACCATCTGATTTCAACTCCCTGCTATGGAAGTTTCTTTTTTCCCCCCCTTCCACTAGACCAGGTTGCACCAACCCCCATCCAATCCGGCCATGAACAATTCCAGGGATGAGGCAGCTGCAGCTTCTCTGGGCAGCCTGTGCCAGGGTCTCACAACTCACCTATTTGCACTCGCCCTGAGAAATATCCTAAAAATGAGACTGGTGTAGTATTGGGAAATAGTGGCAGGATCTGGCACTTGCTGAGCTGCCTTGGCTAACACGGCTTCTGGGAGAGATGGAAACATCCCCAGTCCTCAGGATCACAGCCCAGATGTCCTTGAGACAATTTTCTAGGTTGCTTGAAGTAATGGAAAAATAAACTCAGAATTCTTGTGTGGTGGAGAACCAGGTTTTACTAAACTCTTCTTTGTTCTTTGTGTTCTTTGGGGCAGATTTTTGAAAAACCAAAAGATCACAAAAGGACATAATGCTTTTTGACCTCTAAATTAGATTTTTTTTCTAAAGATTAAAAACACTTAAGAAGAAAAAGTGGAAACTACATTCAAGACTCTCACAAAGGGATTAAGACAAAATCAGCACAGTGATCTACTCTGAAGCAAACAAACCAGAGCCATTGTACAATCCATCCAGCTCCTGTCTTACCTCTTCTTTCTTAAATCTAATTTACACTCCAGAACATGTGATTTGGATGAGAACCACCTTTTTCTTTTTCTCCTGTGTTTTTCCAGGAGCACAGTAAAGTCAGATTGAGGCATGAAACAAGCACAGCAAGTGACAGCCCAGTGCTTGCTGTTCTTGATGGTTTTCTTTTTGAATCTCAATAGGAATATGGAATCATATTCTGCATTTAATGATATCTCTGAGGCATGATTAAATCTCTCATTAATGGAGCAATATTTTTAATTGGATCTTATTAGAGAAAAGGGATTATGAGCATCCACTATGAGTGTTTCCCTTCTTAGGTAGAGCAGCGTGTAAGTGGCTGGATAAACACTGGTGTGCATTTTTTCTTTGAAATCTCTTGGGAAAACAAAACAAATGCAAAACTCTTGCTAAAATGGCATCCAGGGGATGATAATAATTCATGTAACTGTGTTTCATTCCCAGAAATGCCTTCCCTGGCAGTTTTGTAGTTTCACCACACATCACCACACTTCTCTTCTGCAGAAGATCTGTAGATGGTACCATTGTGATGCTGAAGATCTTGTGTGTCACTTGTTTCTGTAAATTATCTGCTTTAATGAGCAACATCTTTTTTTAATTTTTTAATTGCTCGCCTAACAAACCCAGCTTCATCCTGGGTCCTCTTTGGCTCACATGTTTTTACAAATAACAGTGGCACTGCCTTCCAATGGATTTTGCCTGCAGTGCCATGGCAGGAGTGAAAACAGCTGCAGAACATCTCCTTGGATTTAGTCACTTATTGACTCTGAGGAGCCATAAAACACCCTGGGATGCTCCTGCCTCACCAGCCTACCAGGGCTATCAAAGAATTCCTGGCTTTATTGAGAGAGTTTCACTTCTCATTGCAGTTCAATGCAGAGGAATTTGTAAGCAGAGTGAATCAGCCATGCTGAGTACATAGAATATATCCCAAGCAGCCACATCATGCAAAGGCAGTGTTCCCACTTGTCTCACTCTTCATGCATCCATATATTTTTGCCTTCTTCCCCAGGATTTCCACCCACACTAGACCTTCAAGCATATGTTTACTGGATTGGAAGCTGTGCCTGCTGGCACCCTGCCCATGCAGGGGAGCCTGGAGAGATTCTCTCTCCCCTCCTGTGTAAGACTTTGATTCTGCTCCTCTCCACATGAGAGAGGGAGCAAACGAGGTCACCTGGCTGTTGAGTGCCTTCCAAAGTCTTTCCCTCCAAAAGGATGAAGGTGAGACAATCAACTGCAAACACAGTCTGCAGTTGGGAGGTTGGGGAAACCCTGTGTTCCTTTGGACAGCTTTGCTGTGGGAAAACCCATTCCTGTTCCTACAGCCCTGACTGCACCACGTGAACATTGCCTTAGACAAGAAAGGTGGGAGACCTGATGTAGTGGGACAGAGAAAATCTGCAGACATTCCTTTAGAGCAGTAGCACTTTCTCATCTCTCTCAGTGGAGACCACTCTGTTGTGACAGTTGTCATGAAAATCCATTTGGAAGAAGGCGTGAGTGCAAGGTAAACATCACAAGAACTGGAGAACTCAGATAGTCAGGCCCTCCTGGTTACTCTGACCTGACAGCTTTAAAAATATGTCAGTAATAAAGAACTAGAGCTCCTATATTTTTTAATGTCAAACACAGCAGTGCACACCAAGAAAGAGAGAAGACAATTATTTATTTTTTTCCCAAGGAAAAAGCTGCTTTGTGCTGCAGCCTTTGATTTCTCACTTTGAGAATAAAGGTTGCTCTTCTAAATCTCCTAAGTTTATAAGGGTTTAAGGATGGCATTGCTTTACTGACGTCTAGTAGCCATATTCCACTAAAAAGCTCTGCTGATGGAGAATTTTTATTTTCTTTTGCTACTTCATATTTTCCTGCAGTTGGGAGATACACCATCCTACAAAATTTTTTTCAGGATGCACATAAACGAGGCACACATTTATTTTAATTTCTGATGATGTAATTTAAATTCAAACAGACCTTTAAAAGCCTGAAAATTATCTATGCACATATATGGATATAGTAGAATATCCTCACTTTAGTGAAAAATGCTTTAAGAGCAGTAACAAACTAAAATTGTAGTATTAGGAGCCTGCACCCTTTTGGTACACATTAGAGAGATGGTCCTGGAATGTTCAGATTAAAATTCTCTCCAAAGGGAAATGAGAAAATATTTTGTTTAACTATGGTTTTGTACTACAAAATGATAACTCAAATGCACTGCTTGGAAGGCACCTCGAACTGTCTCCTGCCCAAAGCTCCCTGCTCAAAGCAGGTCAGCTACAAGAGGACCAGAACCTTACCTAGTTGGGTTTTAAATATCTCCAGGATCTTGACAAATTGGGTACAAAACTTCTTGGGTGCCCAGGGGGGATGTCACCAAAAAAACCCCCCCACCACAAACAAAAAAAATGCAACCCCCAAGAGCCCATTATTCCCTCATTAGAGAAAAAAATACAGTTCATTTTTTTATACTTCACAATATACAAAGAAAAACTAAAGTGTGCTTCAAAGTCAGTCATGAGTGGAAAAACAAATAAATGCAGAGGATTAGATAATTCTTTTAGTAATGATTTGGTGGTGCCTTTAAAACCTCAGATAAGGAACAGTTTGGTTTCTTGGCAAAGAGGAGGCTTTGTCACTTCACTATGAACTCATATCCCTCTGTTATATGTGTGTTGTGTCACATCCAGTAGAAACTATCTGCAGAATCTTGGAACTTAACTCATCAAGCCTGAAAATTCAACAGCATATTAATTTCCCTGTAGGATATTAATTTGGTTTCAGATTCCTTATGAATGTTGAAAACTACATTTAGTCTCTAGGCCAAACCAGCGGAATTTACTGATTTAATTTGGGTCTCTAGAGTGAGTAAATGGAATTTTTTTTACAATAATGAGCCAAGATATGATAGTAACCTGACAACAAAGGGTTAGGTTTCCTTAAAGATGCAAATCTGAAATCAGTGGAAATTTCTCCATCTCTGTACCTAGCCCAAGATGAAAAGAGAAGGGGTATTTGTATAATCTTTCTTAAAGGAGTCAATCCCAAACAGAAATACCATATTTCTGCCAGAGCATGTGATAAGTAATCATTAGCTCACACTAGACAGCCTGAAGAGAGCCAAAGGTCAGTGTGGCCTCTCACTCCCTCCCACCAAGGTTTCTCTGCACATTCTCTTGCTCGCAGGGACCCAGAATCATGTGCAGCTATGTTAAACTCCCTCTAAACTATATATATCTGTGTAAAATATGAGATGGACTCCTTGTTAGCATCACTAATCATTATAATTTCCAGCTGAGATGCCCACCAGGGGAAGCCCTGGCTGGGAATGCAGTTGGTGAAATTCTGTGCAGAAGAGCCTCACCTTGGTGTCCCACTGCTCTGCAGGTTTTGCCTTGCATTTGCCCTGCAATCCCTAAAAATTGTGAAACCTGATGAAGACACTGACTGAAGCTCCAGATGGGCTTGGTAGGAAGTTAGGTGGAAGAGAGAAGTACATCTCAGGGCAGAAAACACTTTGCATAAAAACAAAGGGAAATATAGCAGTGAAGACATATGGAATTAATGGAAACCCACTAATGTCTGGTGCCTAGCTTACATCCATGTTTAATTCATGGATAAAGTAACCAATTAAAAATGCATGATAGACTCATGACAACCAACAGATGAATGCATGGTTATTAATGCTAAGTATGGATCAAAGGAGGGAAGTAGCTTGGATTTGGAGAGCTGGGGAATGAGATCTCCCTGTGTCAGCAGGTCCCAGGACAGTCAGGTTTGCTACTGCAAGTCAGAGCAATAAGGTGGGCAGGACTGAAAGACTCTCACTGCCCAGAAGAGGTTGAGAAAGACATTCTGGAGTAGCTGCTGTGGCCAGGAGATCAGACCCCTGGAGCCCCTGTAGAGACTCAGGTGAAGCAACAGTGAACAACAAGAGAGCAGAGGGGCAGAGCGTGAGAGGGGCAGGAGCCAAAGGCTGCCCAGCTCAAGGTCTGGGTGTCCTGGACATCTGGGGGATGTCTTCAGCATGAAACCCCAAAATGCCCAGAGGCTTGAAGGATACCTTGACTGGGGGTGGGGTGAGATCCTGTTTAAGATATTTTTTAAGATATTTTCATCCCAAACCATTCTGTCATTCTGTGATTCCCTATTTCCAGGCCCCTCCTTCCTGCATGGACCATCCTCATCAACCGTGCTGAGCCAAGGCAGAGGAAGCAGAGGTGACACATCAGGTTCTTCTGTGCCAGTAGAACCAAAGGATACTTTGATGCACAAAGGTCATGCAGGGATTTGTGCCACATCATTTTCTTTGGCACCGTGGTCCACCACACCACCAGAAGCACCAAAAATAATAATCCTTGCCATTGTCATTAATTTAACAACAAGAATGACAAGGTCTTTTTTTTTTTTTCCTAGTGGAAGCTGTGAACACCTTTCTTGGCTGCCAAGTGAGGCACTTGCAAGGCTATACTCATGCTCAGAGTGTGTCCCTGGAGGGCAGGAAGGTCCAAGTGCCTCTGAATGAGTCATTTCCATGGGGCTAATCTCCGAAAGGTGCTCAGTGAGGATGCAGTGATTTCCAAGAGGTTTGCAATCACTTCACACCACTGAGGATCAGGAATGAGCTAATGGGAAAGATAACAGCCCCTGTAGTCTCCAAAGCTCACAATCCCCTGGGCAGATTCCAGCTTCAGCCATTTATTTTGGTTTTTAAACAGAAGCAAAATCATATCAAGCTAGAACCAGATGACTGTTTATTAAAACCGAGCCTGGCTGCTGCTGTGAGGGTTTTCTGAGTGTCAGCCACATGTAAAAATGCTTTTCTTTGATGCCTGCAGCAAGTGTTTTCTCTGGAGCCTGTGCTGGGGTGGAGGACTGGGATATCTTACATCCTGGGGGACTGGAGAGCTGTGCTGGGGCCTCCAGGGAGAAAACAGCCTTGGCACTTGGGCAGCATTTCTAAGAATATCAACAGGCTCCAAAAGAAAGAAAGAGAACCACAACCTGCTCCCTCTCAGAGGGACAGATTCCAAGCATCTTCGATGAGGAACAAATACCTATTTAGAAATCATTCCAGAATGGTATTTGGCTGACCTGAAACCCCTGTAGCTGCACAAGCCTGACATGTTTCAGCATATTTTCCTTATTTAAGCCCATCCTCAGTAATTGGCTTTTCCAGTTGATGGTGATGAATTAGGGGAGAGCTCCTGGGTGAAATGAAATTGAAGAGGACTGAAAGCTCAAATCCAGCTTAATTGTGCATCTGACATGTGAAGAGAAAACAATACCTGGCATCCCCCAACAAAACTGGCTGCCCAGAGGAAGGATCATCAGGGGAGCAAAGCCCTTGTGATGAATGTCACTCATGTCATTTACGGCATGTTATAGAATCTACATGAACTCCAAGCACAGAGAACACAATGAAGTGGAATAATTGCAGGAAACATTTTAACCTCATGAACAGAGAAAATTTGCAAGGATGGATTCTCCTTCTGGTCACAGTGCTCACACTCACTTGTTATAAAGGACAATGTCTGGCCTCCAGATGAGCTCCGAGGGGATTCGGATGGATGTGACATTTTCGTATTCCTGGGGGTCCCAGCGCAGTTTGTAGTCGTGCCACTCCTGCCAAAAATGAGGTGGTTACAAAGCGGGGAGAGTTCAACAAAAAAATTGAAAAGAGGCATGGAAAAACACATATTTGTGGGCACCCACCTGCTTCACCCACACATTTGTGGTCATCATTTGATTTTTCTCATCCTGAAATGCAAGATCAGATATTGGTTACAGGAGCAGATTAAGAAGCCCAAAGAACCCTCTTCATTTCCCTTAATTGTATTTCATTTACGTAATTGAAAATCACCTCTGCAATAAATATAAGTTCAGTCTTGGAAATAAAAAGCAGATGTTTCTGTCATTTGACATGGGACAGGGCACAGCTGTCTGATACCACTGAACAGCTGAGCCTGCACCTAAGCAATCCTGTGAGCAGATGGAATGGAATTTATTGGGATTTTACTCAGTGCTGATGGATTCAGCCTGGGATGATGATACCAGGTAGAGGAAAAAGCTCCCCAGCCTGCCTTTGACCTGAGCACTGAAGGAAGGAAGTGATGGATATATAAACCCTTACTCACACACGTGTGGTGGGTTCCAGTGCTCAGCTTCACCTGCAAGGGTGTTCTCCTGTGAAACATTATCCATGGACACACTTCTGGAAACAAGAAGCTCAGCAGCATTTCTCCTTCTACCAAATGCACACAACTTGTGGCACTGTGGATTGGATTTTCTGAATAAACCCCAGCTGCTCTGCTGACATTCTTGGGCAGCCTGGTTTTTCTCAACTCTGTGCACAAAAAAGTTAAGAGTGTATGTACATATTTAAATAATGTCAGGCATTTATAATGCCAGCAGCACTGCAGTAGGGTTAATTACTGTTTGCTGCTTGCCTTTTGTGCTCTCTGTAAGTAACTCAGATGAATTATGTGGGGCAGAGCCTAGTGCTGGTCTGACTGAAGTGTCTCACCACAGCTCAGGGTTTATTTGCATGGGTTTTTTTATCTCTTGCCTTGGCTGGCATCAAACCCAGCTGAGCTGGCAGGGCTCAGCTGACAGCAAACTGTTCATCATTAACCTTGCTCTTGTAGCAGTTCAGGATTGATTGTGAACATTAAAACCCAGAAGTTTGGGGGTAGCTCTGCCTCCTCCTCCCTGAGCCACCAAGCCTTGAGTACCTGCTTCCCTTACCACTTTGCAATTCAAGCATCTGAGGGTCTCCGCCACAGCCCCTGCACTGAGCATCCTGGTGTAGCAGGTGCTGCCTTTTACTGGAATTCTCCCTGGAACCACCCTTTGTGGAAGCTCCTGCCCATCACCACATCATCCTCCTGGCCTGAGGGAAGCACAGCTCCAGTCCCACGGGATTATCTGAGAGGGGTTTGCAGTGTGCCAATGACCAAGCTCCTCCTCAGCTGGCACAGCTGGCTGCTCCTCATGGAGCCAGCCCAGAGGACAGCAGTGACTCCCCAACCATGGGGCTGTTGCACTACCTGGCCTCTTCTCTCAAGGTGAACACAGCACGTGAGGTCCTGCAGACAAACCAAGGAGTTCAAGTGTGTCTCTTGGTGGCTGCTCCTGGACACACATTTGATCTCTTCCCCTGTATTTCTGGTCCCAGAAAACCCTCAGCAATCCAGAGTGAGGTGAGGACATGCAGGATTGTAGAGCTCCCCATTGATTTCTGTTCCCCTGCTCCCAGCTTTTGTCAGCAGGAGCTGGGGTTTGAATACAGCTCTGATTTCCCTTTCAGACTCCTTGTCATTGGAAGCTGAGCATTGTGTCTAACAATTGCAGCGGGGTTTGCACCAAAACTGTCACTGTTGGGAAGGGGGAGAGGAGCTGAAGAGCCACGGTGGTGGCAGGAGTGTCACCAGTCACAGACTGGGGCAGGAGGGGTGAGAGCTCTCCTCCAGCCATGCCCACAGGTCCCAGCACAGCTCTGCCTGCGAGTTGCACTTCTAACCACTGACATGGTTTTAAGAAGATTAATTTTTCTTAAGTAAACTGGGAGAGCACTGTGGAGCAGGTGTATCGATCCCCCCCTTCCACGATTCAGCAGCTGCATAATGGAAAGTCTCTCTCATGCCTCCACAGTCACTAATGTCTCATCTTTAGTCTTATCAATTATTCAGATGAGAACCATGCAACTTCAACATTAGCAACTGCAAACAGCCCTGGATCCCTCAGGCTGACGCAAGAGTGAGGAGGGGAATGGAGACCATTGCTGTGCTGCAAAGCTGGATGTGGATGGCTTCTGCACGAGATGAGACTCTCCAGCAACTGGTGTCTTTGACTCCCCACCTCCTGAACCATCTCAGCTGTTTCCTTTTCATCTCCAAAATCTGATTTCATAATATAAAACTGTGTGGAGAGTCATCTGTTATGATTGTCCCACACCAATAATGTCTTTAGGTTGCATTATTCTTTCCATTGTCATAGAAATCACAGAATGGTTTGTATTGGAAGAGGCTTTAAAGCTCATCCAGTTCCAACCCTCTCCAACACCTTCCACTAGACCAGGCTGCTCAAAGCCTCATCCAGCCTGGCCATGAACATTTCCAGGGCTGGGGCATTATCACCCCTCTCATTCTGCCACATGACTACAGTAAAAAGTGACAGGGAGTCCCATCTTCTGAAAAATAAGGGGGTTGGACAAGATGGCCTTTAAAGGTCCCTTCCAACCCAAACTATCCTGTGAAAGCCAGCCCAATACCTGCTCAAGGACTGTGCAGCTGTACGGACACTCTCCTGGGAAGTGCCACGTGCAAATAGGGACACCAAGGAGAAAAATACAGGAGCAAGAGGTGCAAAAGCTCTAAAGCCTGTGAGTGTGTCTGGCATCTGCAGCCCTGCAAGGACCTCCTTTGTGTAACACTTGACCCCAACACACTGTGCCAGAGTAATCCCATAAATGCTGTTTCAGTGCACATCAGTCTGCATGCAGACCTCTCTGTTTTGTACCAGGCATATACAGTTTGCACATGTGTGACTTCTGTCTGAGCAAACGCTCCAAGAATTTTCTTGTTAATATCTGCCAGATTAGCTAAAAATGCTCAAAACTTTCATTTGCAGAAACCTCTTCAGGCAATCTCTCTTCCCAATGTGTGCAAAGCACTGTCCCTATTAGCTTGTGTAAATTAGTGTTAATGTACATGGCTCAAATTCCAAATTAGGTATTTGATTTATTCTTTTGCCAGAATTCTCTGGCATTTATGCCAGGGGCCCAACTGCCCTGCTGTGATCAGTCCTGTGGATTTTAATAGGGAATTTGGGATTTTGCCTGTAGCAAATGAAGAGTAAAGGATCCACTTTGATGACCAGCTACTCACATAAGTCACCCATGTTCCACCAGCTCTGTCTGCTTGATCATTCCTCTCTGCAGAGGGCAGAGCCTTCCCACCCCAACCCTGGATCAGCCAGTCGAGCCCACATGCACCAGGAGCCTCTCCCTGGGCCCCAGCCTGGCTAATCTCAGCCTTTGTTGCACAAAGAGGTTGCACTTACGACATCGATGAGCTGGGCGATGGACAGGCCGAAGCGCACCAGGACCACGTCCGAGATGTTGGCCACGGGACGGGACCATTTGTTATAACCAGAGAAGAGTTTCTTCAGGAGCCGCTCCTCTGCATGGGCTCGGGTCTCCACGTGGCCAAAGGCTGTGGGCAAGGAATGAAACACCTGCAGGTCCAAGGGCTGGCATAGCTGGAGCCTTCTCCAGAGGGAAACTCCAACAAACCACAGTGATGGGCATTTGGGGACACGCAGGAGGGTGATGTTACTCAGGTGATTTGTCACCCCTCTCTCCCTGACATGGATAAGTATTCCTCACTCTATTCACCCACAATTACAGAGCAGGATTGGTCTGAAGAAAATGGGGGCACCAGTAATACCATTTAGAAAATACTACATGAGCCATTTTTCCCTGAATCTGGTCTAATTTTTATGGCCACTTTGTGACAAGTTTTTAGCACTGGAGTCTGCAGGCAGGGAAGAGGGATGCTAGAAGGACAAGCCAAAAAGGAAAAAGCAGCTTCCTGCTGGGAGATAGGAATTTTGGATCAGATTTACCCATAAAAAATTGACATTACACACATCAGAAGAAAAAAGGCAGCTTGAAATTCAGCTCTTTAACCTGCTTGGTGGATATTTCACAAAAACAATGGGAAGAGGATAGTGGAGAGCACAAGTTGGATAACAAGATCCCAGTTTTGCTCAGGCATAACTTTTCAAGTTATGCCATGCAAGGAGCAGCCCTGACCCCTCATGCAGGCTCCAGGAGCTGCCAGAGGTGCCTGTGGTTATTAAAAATTAAAGCCACGTTTCATCCAGGGGCTGTCGGAGGAGCTGCACTCCTGAGCCGGCGGTACCAGAGAGAGGGGAGAGGGAGCCGGGGGCTCTCCCCACGTCCCTCGTGGAATATGGCTTCTACTCAGGCTTTAGCTGCCCTGGATTATACAAAGGGAAGCATTAGCTGAGCGCTGGCTGTGCTCTCCCCAGCCGGAGCTGTAGCCCCGAGACACATTAACACACTTTACCCAGGGAAAAAAAGCCCAGGCAAGAAGCAGGATGCTGAGCCCCCCTCTGGATTCTCCCTCCTGTCCCCTTCCCACCGTGGCTTTAACCCTTTCTCCATCTAATCAGACTAGGAGCAGAAAATAAAGGCAAAGCGGCTGGTGCTCAGGGGAGCAGAAATGATGGGGCAGAAGGGTGGAGGAGAAAATTTCCAACACGGAAATTCCCTGTTGACAGGGGCTGGTCTTTGCAGCGTGTCTTTGAGATAGAAAAGGGAGGAAAGAGCTGAAGAGCAGAGCAGGGGGAGAAGAGCTTTCTCAAACTTACCGGGGAAAATGCTGGCACACAGCAGGAGGAGGAGGTTTCCCTTAGGCACGAGAAATCCCATGGTGGAGCAGAGCTTTAGTGTGCAGAGTCTCCCGTCAGGGCAACTTTTCCGCTCTGAGTCTCTGGATCCTCCAGGTTCATTACCCTAAACTCCTTTGGCTCTCTCTCCCTCTGGGAAGGGATAGCAGCTGGTGCTTTGTTTTGTTTTGTTTTTTTCCTTTCTCTTGTCTCTTTGAGTGATCTCCCGCTCTTCCTCCTCGAAGGATGCTCTTTCCCGGGATGCTGCTGCTCGCTGACTCGCAGGTGATGTGCAAGGGCTGGTGTAAGGGCTGGGGTGCCCAGCAGCCCTGGGCTCTCCTGCTGCTCCTCTCCCCTCTCCTTGGCTGCTGCTTTATTTACTGCTGCTGTTCCAGCCTTCCCCAGCCCTTGGGGCAGCCTTTGCTCGGGTTTCGCTGCTGATGGGCCAGCGATGATGCCTCTGGAGCAGAGTGAGCACAGCGTGTTTGTATATTTAATGTAGTCAGACCTGCCCACCACCCGCTTAGGAGGAGGAGGAGGACGACGAGGAGGAGGAGGAGAGAATCCCTGCTCCAGCAAACAGGCTGCAGGGGGGAAAACTTTTGCAGGAGAAATAAAGGGGGAGATCCGGAGTCCAGCTGCAGCCAGAGGTGGATGTGGGGCCAGCTGGGATCTTTATAGCACCGGAAGCCCAAACAGTTCTTAATTAACGAAAGCTGTCTCTTTAATCTCGTCCAACTGCTTTTCAAAATCACTCCAGTGTAATTAGACTGAGATATTTCTGGCTTGGGCACGTATCTTTGCTGTCAATAATTACTGGGGTGATGAACCTGCCCAGGAGAACAGGGCTCTGCTGTGCTTGGTGCTGTACAAACACATAGTATAAATACAAATATTAGAGTCTGCAATATTGCAAACCAGGAGTGAGACCGAGACGAGGTCACTTGAATTTATCTATATGCTTAAATGTACCTTAAATACATCACAAAAAACTCTGCTGAAGTCTTGCAAATTTGGTGGAGGAAAGGATAACTCCTTGTGCTAGGAAGGAATTATCACTCCAGCCCTTCATCTCACATCCCTGATTCCTTGCATGGGAGACGTGGAGTGGAGCTCTTCCCATTTTATTTCAAAACTAGCTTTGATATTAACACAATTACTTCCACACGGATAGCAAATGGATTTAATTTTCAGGCAGGGGTAATGTTGCCAGCTGCAAAATTAATCAGAGTCCGTTCTAATAATATTAGCTACATATTTTATGTATAATAATTTCCCTACTCCCAAAGCATCTCAAATATCCTCCAATATAATAGATTGCTCACTGCAAATGGGGAGGATTAAAGTCACAAGAGAAATTAGGTCTGTAGTGAGATTATAAATAACATCAGTGTAGTACCAAACTCAACTTGTCTTGTTTTTCTTATCTCATCTCTTCCTCAACAATTGTCAGCCTTTCCAGAGACAAACCACACGGTATTTTCCCGCTTCATGGATTCCTGTACAGTTGCCTGCTTTGCTCTCGGAGTCCTGATCCTCACCGCAGCACCTGAGCACCTGTATATGCTATAAAAATCTGTAGTGCTCATTCCAGGGAACCATCCAGCATTAATTTAATAAGCAGCAGATGTGAGATCAAATTAACTCGGAGCTGAAGCGTGGGATACATCCTGAGAGCCAGGTCCTGTGCAGCTCTGAGCACCTCCAGCAATAGGGGAGCAGAGGGGCAATCACTCCTCACCAGGGTTAAAACAGCATCACTGTCACCTGCTGCAGCTACACATTCCCAAGAACAACCACCAAAAACCCCCTAGCATTTCTTTAATCACCTTTTCTCAGTGGAACCTGAAGTCTGCAGGTTCTTGTACTCCTTGTTATGTCCAGCCCAGTTCTGACCCAGCAGCATTAAATGGGGGAATCCTGGGTTTCTTCCCACCTCCATCCAGCCATGAGCACCAAACACAACAAACAAATAGTGAGGAATAGATTTTCTAAAGGCCATTTTTCAGTGAGGCTGGTGCTCTGCGCAGGTCACACACTGAGCAGCCAAACCCAAGGGATGCAAGATCAACTATTCCCTTTTGAAAATCTTGGCCATAAATAATACAGGTATCCTTGACTACAGGCCCTCCTGTGCAGAGCTGATTCAAATCCCATGGACAAACCCCATCCATCTTCACCTTGCCTGGCTTTCCATGCTGGCGAGCAAACACTGCCTTTAGATTAACCCTATAAATTATTTTGATTAAAAAAGGATTTCCTTCCTTTGGAAATTAATTGTAAATCACTATTTCCTATGAGTGAAACATTTATCCCTCACCTCGCTGGCCATGTGGGAAATGAGCATATTTTACAGTGGTTTCTGTGCCTTGAAGTGACCTTGTTAAATCTCACTGCCAGTTTCTTTCTGCATCATTGGGCCATAACAAAATTTCCATCAGCTCCTGTGTGTATTTGGAAGGCGATGACTTCCACTGGTACATGTGCAAAGGTCTCTGACTGGAACAAAAGATGACATTTAAAGGTTTTAATGATTTTTTTTATTGTGGTAGAGAGCTGCAAACCCAGCCTGATTTCCAGGGACCCCACTCTGAGTCTCCTCATTATTATTATTATCTTCCTTTGTCTGAAAAAGATGTGGGTAGTTTGGGTGATCCAGATGTTCACAAAAGCTGATTCAAACATCCCAGCTACTGAAGATTTTAGACTGAACAAAACAGAAACAAGGCAGCATCTCTCCAAGGTCTCCACTGAAATCTCAGACTTGTCCTTGGAAAAAGGTCAAGCCAATAACAGGCTCAGTTTTGGGCCATTTAGTGGAATTCCATGATTCTGCAAGGATCTGGTAAGTGTTGACTGTGCCTTCTTGCATTCTGCACTCCTGGAAATCTCTTGTCTACTTTAACCCTTTCTCAAGTAATTGTTGTTCTATAGAAGACACTGGCAGAAACAGATGGAAGGTCCCTGAGAGGTGGGTGCCTGCACATAAATTGTGTCTAAGCCACCTCTCCTGCCATCACTTATTCAATATTGAAAAAAATCAGCTGCTCGAGGAGGCAGAAGCAGCTGCACTGCCAGGGAATCCTAGGACTGCACATTTCCTTTGAATTTGCTTTCTCTCCATGATCTTGTCTTGGATGTCATAGCCAGCCCTCCAGAGCCAGCCCTTGACCTCTGCTTGTTTTGTAAAATGTCATCTGGATGTTTAAATCTAGCAGAGTGAGACATTATAATGATAATATCTCCTTACCTGTTGCCCATTTGGGCTTGGCACAGGGGACAGCCGGGTTAATGGAATGCTTGAGAAACACCATCTTTGCATTCAAAGGGGATCAGGATTTTTTTCCTTGTCTGTCCGTTCCTGTGATAAAGATTTCCCTCTCCTGTTCCTAATGGCTTTAGGAGGCTTCAGGTGGAGCAAAAGCAGAAGGAAGAAAACCAACAGTGAAAGGGGAAAGATCTCCTTTCAGTGAGATGTGCACTGGAATGAGCAGAGCAGAGGGACGTGCAGGGCTGTTTCTGAGCAGAGCAGGCTCTGGCTGCCTCTGGGGAAACCTGTGAGGTACTGCTGGCTTCTCAAGAGTGACTCTGATTCATTCATATTCATTTCAATTTGTTTCTGAAGTGAAAGAAGGCTTTGAAAGACATTTTTAACTAAATCAAAGATTTTTTACTCTGCAAGAGACTTCTGGCCATGCAGGGGAGCTGAGACACCTGCATGGGACTAAGAACAATGGTAAAATAACAGTGTAGGAATGTAAAAGAATTCAAATAGTAATGAGCACAGGGAGAAGAGGGAGAGATGTTGCCTGTAAATGTAGGAATGATTATTTCCAAAGCAGTAACTACAATTACGGAGCCCAGGCTTTTCCAAGTCTTCTTGCCTTCTTGGAAGTTGGCTATGGAATGGATTTCAGCCACAGAATTCTACCAGATCCCCTTATTATTTCCTGGAGCACCCTCAGGGCACTGACCAGGCCCTGCAGTGCCATGGCTTTGCTAAATCTCACTCTCAGTGAGAGCCCAGGTGTGCCAACACATCTGAGATGCTCCAAAGCTGCATCTCCCCCGTGATTCCCCTCCAGACCCTCTCTAGGTGCACACAGTGAGTAAACACCTAGCAGCCCAGCCCTGGGTACACCACAGGCACACATTGTCCAGTCAGGCTGATGCCTTAGGATTTTAGCTTTTATATTTTTCTGAGCCTGTACTTCTTTAGCGTAGAACTCTAAAGCTCCACACACTGTTAGTTACTGCCTTCCCGTTTTATTCAGAATACAAAACAACTCTCTGGGCCTGAAACTCAAGGACACCCTACTGTCTTAGGCCCTGAAAAGTGTAAACAAAAAGTAAATTGGGGGGGAGCAAACTGGGAGTATATTACTTCATTAGCTGAAGCTGTAATTGGAGGATTGTAATATGTAAATGGACCAAACTTACAATTGTCTGAAAAACTCGTGACCATTGTTTGTGTTGGGTGTAGCCCCTCTTGGAGGCTTTTGGCTGCCCAAGGTGTACCTATTGAAGGCCTTTAATAAATATGTGCTTTTACTCTCTTAATCTTGTCCAGCCTCTGTTCCAGGTGGCCACTCCAAGGCATCAAGGCCCCCCCAGTGCTGAGCCAGGGCAGCCCCACGGCTCCAGCCATGAGGAGATGCTTGGTGGGGCTTGGAGCAGAGATGGGCACACCCCACCACAGGGCAGTGTGGCTGATGCAGCATCTCCCCCTCCTCTCTGTGTGCTCATTAGGATTTCAATCCCAGCACAAGAGCCCTGATGCATTAACCTTTTGTGTTGCCTTGGAGTTGTCACGCATTGCTGGGCTGGGAGCTAAGGGAGCTCAGAACCTTGCAGGATTAACTCTATAACGAAGCTCTGGGGAGAACCCAGTTGTATTTACCTCTGAACAGCCTGTGCTGATGGAGAGCAGGGGGAATTCTCTCATTCCTTCTCTCTCCAGACTCGTTCCCACCTCTGTCCTCCACAGCAACACATTTATTCTCTTCTTCTCCGACCCATGATTCATCATGCCAACAAAACGCAATAATCCACACGTTTCTTCCTCTCTGGATTTCTCTTCTTCCTGTTGCTCACTCAGGCATATCCTGGGAATTTCTGAATAAGGCTCTTTATTAATGAAGCAACAGGAGGATTTACGGTTCTGGCTGTGCTTAAACAAAGCAACAAAGTGAGCCAAACACTGAAAGAGGAAATGAAGCAAAGAAGAAAGTCATGGCCTCATTAAGATTTCCAGCTCTACAGCTACTAAAGGGCTTGTGTTACAGATCAGATGAACCTCTACATCTTATTTGTAAATGCCAGACTGCATTGTAAAGAGCCCATAAAGAGCAGGGAGGCAGCTTTCACTTGAGATCTATGAAGATGGATTTTTAAATTAGAGAACTGAAGCATGTTTCTCCAGACAAGTTTGTTCTCCAAGGATAGCTTTGGTTTCACTGCTCAGCTTTGTGGATCTAAATTAGGCTCTTGTCCTTCCTCACCAGAGGGCAAACACTGCCCAATTTACTCACTGAGGAAA